TGTGTTTGAACCACATTATTTTGGAAGGATGTATTCTAGAATAGTATATTGATGGAAAATGTGTGGTTGAAAAAGAAGGAAAAATTATTGATGTGATGGAAAATATTATTTTATTGAGGAATGTGTGGTTGAAAATGAGAATTTATTTACTGTAAAAATGAAAATCTGTACCAAACAGGCCCTCATTTGACAACCATTATTTTGAGAAAATAGAGTTTTGAATAGTGATTTTTTTTTGGAGAATGTATGGTTAAAAAGTAGGAATTTTTTTTGAATTTACGTGCAAAATATTTTATTGTGTAAACGAGTGGTTGAAAATGAGTATGAGAATTAAAGAGCTTTCAAATAATGGTTGTCAAACAGAGGTTAAGTTTCCATCGAGAATAAAATTTATAAATTTAGTTAAAATAAAAATTAATTTCATTCATACATGAATAATTGTTACTTATTATTATCCACACATGTCGTAAGACCACTACTAAATTTGCCCAGCGGAAGCTTGTTATATTGAACATGATGTACACAAATAAAGCAAATATACGTTTACATTATTTCTCTAATTTGCATTCGAATCTTTAAACGTGCTAATAGAGTAATAATACGTTTGACATGACTTTTAAGAAGTAAAAAAAAGTTTTTGATATTCAAATGTCATTTTTAGATTCGTTTGAAAATTATGATAGAAGTGTTTCTTATAGTTAAAAGAACTTTTATAGAAAATTAATTCAGTATGACTTCTTCTAAAAGTACATTCAAAATAAGAAGTTTTTTAAAAAACTAGTTTTTAAACAAAAATTAAGATAACATCTTCAAGAAACACTTCTCCATAATGCAAAAGTGAAAGTTATATCAAACGGACCCTGAGACCTCTTCATAAAAGTCTAATGGTCGCCTATAAATTGGAGCAGCTAATTACCTTTTATAATTTCATTCATATTTTATTTTATTAAAATTAAATATTTATCCAATTTATCCTTCAAAACTAGATATATAAGATCAATTTCAAGAGATTCTCTAAATTCTCGTTTGATCTCCATTATTTTCAAGATATATTTTTTCTCTCTTCTTTTCAATCACACATTCTTGACTAAATTAATATTACACGAGAATTCAAAATTTTCCATTATTTTTAACCATACATTTTCCTCCATTTCAAAACGCATTCTTCAATAAAAATGAGACTCAAACATGCTCTAAATACAAAATGTTTTTTATTTTATTTTAGGGAGTCAATGTTAGAAAATAAGCTCCAAGAGAATCTTTATTTTTAAAAAGCATATTCTATAGTTTAGGATTGCCAAAGAAACCCCGTCAAACTCGATACCCACGGTGGGTATTCGGGTTGAGGACGGGGAAGGGAATTTCCTCTCGTGGCGGATACGGGTAACAAGGTCCCCTCCCCGCCTCCTTTAATTTTTATTATTTAAAAGAATTCAATACTTTAAATAGAAAATTTTACGAAATTTCATTA